TACCCTTTGTTCCCTGTCTTTTAACCAGTTCTCAATCCATGAAAGGACCTTCCCTTTTATCCTATGGCAGCTTAATTTACATAAGAGCCTTTGGTGAGGGAACTTGTCAAAGGCTTTCTGGAAATCTAAGTACACTATGTCCACTGGATCCCCCTTGTCCACATGTTTGTTGACCCCTTCAAGAAATTCTAATAGATTAGTAAGACACGATTTCCCTTTACAGAAACCATGTTGACTATTGCTCAACAGTTTGTTTTTCTATGTGTCGGACAATTTTATTTTTAACTATTGTTTCGATTAATTTGCCCGGTACAGATGTTAGACTTACCAGTCTGTAATTGCTGGGATCACCTCTAGAGCCCTTTTTAAATATTGGCGTTACATTAGCTAACTTCCAGTCATTGGGTACAATGACTTTCTGTAACTTTCACTCTATGCATCCGAAGAAGTGAGGTTTTTACTCACGAAAGCTTATGCCCAAATAAATCTGTTAGTCTTTAAGGTGCCACCAGACTCCTTGTTGTTTTTGTAGATACAGACTAACACGGCTACCCCCTGATACTTGATCATTGGGTACAGAAGCTGATTTAAAGGACAGGTTACAAACCTTAGTTAATAGTTCCGCAACTAAGGCTTCCTGCTTCTGATGTACTTAAAATGTAACAGCAAAGTATTTTTTGTCTTTAGTTAGTTGCTTTTCAAATTTTTTCTTGGCTTGCCTTATAATTTTATATCTGTTTATGTTCCTTTCTATTTTCCTCAATAGGATTTCACTTCCAATTTTTAAAGGATGCCCTTTTGCCTCTATCTGCCTCATTTACTGTGCTGTTTAGCAATGGTGGCATTGTTTTGGTATTTGGAGTATATGTTTAGATTGATCCTCTATTCTGGGGTTTGTAGTTTACAGGTATTTCTGTGGGACTGTTGCATTTAATTTGTTTCACTAGCTTCCTCATTTCTGAAGTTAAATGCTACTGTGGTGACTTTCTTTGGTATTTTCTTCCTTAAATGTTAAATTTAATTACATTATGGTCGCTGTTACTGAGCAGTTCAGTTATATTCACTTCTTGGACCAGATCCTGTGCTCCACAGAGGACTAAATCAAGAATTGCCTCTCCCCTTGTGGGTTCGGGGATAAGCTGCTCCAAGAAGCAATCATTTATGGGGTCTAAAAATGTTCTCTGCTAAGATGACACATACACAGTCAACGTAAGGATTGTTGAAATCCCCCATTACGAAGGTAGAAGATGCAATAGTAGTCTCTCTAATCTCCCTAAGCACCTCACAGTCAATGTCACCATACTGGTCAGGTGGTCAGTAGTATATTCCTCCTGCTGTACACTTACTAGTCAAGCATGAAATTTTTAATCGATAGAGAAGTCTATGGTAGTTGATTCATTTAAGATTTTTACTTTATTTGACTTTATGCTTTGACGTATCGTGTCACTCCCCCACCAGCCTGACCTACTCTGTTATTCCTATGTATTTTGTAGCCTGTTATTTCTGTGTCCCACTGATTATCCTCATTCCATGAAGTTTCCATGATGTCTGTTATTTCAATGTCCTCATTTCATGCTAGGCAATGTCATCCCTTGTTTTAATATAGATTCTCCTGAGCTATTTGCTCATTATCTGTCACTGGTCGGCATCCTAGTCGCAGACTTCTGCTTAGCAATGTCCACAAAAAAGATCTTTATTGCAGTGCCTGACCACAAGAGTTTACGGCACGGATGCTCCACCTCAGGTTGTGATGAGATTCAGTGTCTTAACACGGCTCTAAGCGGCTGCTTGAGGCATGTTGTAGGGCTTCCAGAGTAATATTGCAGTAGTTCTGATATACTAGAATCCAGGAGCAAATGGGCAAAATCTGATCCCATGCCAGCTTTTAAACAGAGGATGGAACATCCAGCAAACTTGACGCCAGAGCAGGGGAGGGCACACAATTAAACAGACAAGTCAGTAATGATTGCTTGGAAAGCAGTGTGGGATAGCTGTTCGAGGACTGCCAAGTAGTTTGCAGCAGCATCGCGTGCACATGAACAATACACTGTACTAACTCAATTCACAGCAAAATTAGGTTACCTGGAAGGACTCCAGAGTTTATTGTAAATGAAGAGTTAGTATACTACAGTGGATTGCGTCAGGTGTATACAAGCATTTTCAAACAGAATTAACTCGACTTAATTTGGTTTAAACCCTCCATGTAGACAAAACCTAAATTATTGATCTATGGTGTCAAAGGAAGAAGTTTTGCTCTAAAGAAACTTGGAATACAGTTGGCAGGGAGATGAGAAATGAGTTAAATTTAACAGTAAAGTCAATTTAAATGGTAGCAATGCTATTTTGGTAAATTCTTCCTAAGGAAATTAGCAGCAGTTGTGTCCGATTGTCTTTTACATTTTAAAATCTGCAGTGATCTAGATTACATTACAGATTGGATTCTAAGAATGTTTCTTTATTTCTAAACATTAAACTTCACTTAAATGTAATATTTCTCATAAGCATTTCTTGTTCAATATTCAGTAAACACTGAGTGACATTATTTTTGCTTTCTTTTTCACAGGAACTATATAGTGGTAGCAAAGATTGCAATATACTTGCGTGGGTGCCAGCTCTACGAGAGCCAATGCCTGATGAAGATGCTGCAAAGGTATAGAAAGTTCTATGAATGTCAATTGTACTTTCCCTTTGCTGTAAAAAAAAAAAAAAAAAAAAAAGTTAAAGATATGAAGAAAATATTTCCCTATTGCCCTTTGCAGTAAAGATTGATGCACAGAAATGATCTAGCTGTCTTTTCTCTGCAATGTGCTTTTCTTCTAGTGCAGAGTAGCCAGTTCTGTACTAAACTTCCTGCTTCTCCTGTATTTAAAGTGTTTCTTGTTTTTATGTTGTTTGGCTATTTGACTTTTGACTTTCTTCTTAGCCTTTCTAATTTCCATACTACATTTTACCTGCCATAGTTTAAGGTCCTTTGGAAATATAGTAACGAAATTAAAAAATTACAGAGCAGTAAACGAACAGTGAGATTTAAGGGTAGCAGTTTTTCACATCCAATTACTGTTGGATCTGGAAGTACATCAAGAAAATTCTAAGCAAGCTTACTCAAGAGTCTGTCAGAGACACAAGAAAGGCGGGGCTGCCCTGTATTTACTATCCAAGTTCCCAAGAAACTTTTGATACATCTACAGATTTTTAATGAAGCATTGAAGCCTATTAAACAAAGTCTGGAAATCTTTATTTTTTTTTTTTAAACAATCTCATTTCTTATACATTATTGTAAAGTGAATTTAGACATAGACCTCTGTCTTACAGGATCTATTTATGAAATGGGGTCCAGTTTCATCATCCTTTTTTTAAACTGGAGATCTGTTAGCTGTTTCATGATTTATAGATGATACTGCATATTTGTGAAGTTATTTTTAAAAAGTCTTTATTTTGTTTGTTTTGTAACTATTTTGTGATAACTAGAGTAGTGTGTGTCTCTCGGTAGCAGTACCTCTAATTTCAGCTTCCAAAGGGAAAACCTAAGCAGCAGTATCTTCCAAAGGCATATACATTGCTTCCCTCACTTATTGGTCTCTAAGGCTTGCTGTCATCATTAAGGCTTCATGTCTGTCACATAAGTCACAGATTCCGTGACCTCTGATTTCTGCAGCGGCCGGTGTGGTTAGCTCCGGGGCTGCCCGAGCAGATGAGACAGCCCCTGGGCCAGTCGCACCAGCCACTGCTGGGGCAGGAGATCAGGGCTGTGGTTCCCAGCCAATGGGAGCTGCGGAGCCGGAGCTGCAGGGACATGCTGGCCACTTCCGGGGAGCTGTGTGGAGCCCGGTAGGGAGCCTGCCAGTCCCGCCAATCCTCTCCCCCCTCCCCCCAGCAACAGCAGGGGTCACCGACCCTGTGCTGCCCTCCTCCCCCAGCACCAGCCAGGGCCGCGGGCCGCCGCCTGCCTCCCCCCAGCACCATCCGGGGTCCCAGATCACTCCCCACAGCACCTGTGGTGCCCTGGACCACCCCCCAAGAGCACCTCCGGCCCAAGTTTTAGGGGTATATAGTACAAGTCATGGACCATTAATTTTTGTTTACTGCCCAGGACCTGTCCCTGACTTTTACTAAAAATACTCATGACTAAACCATAGCCTTACTCATCATCAAAGACACACATGTGACTTTTAACTGCTCCTGAGTTTGGAAATCTGTTCTAGATTTTTAAGACCACCAACACAAAACTAAAGTTGGCTATCGTACTTAATATATTGAAAGTAATTTCAGATATTTGTAAAGTTTCAGCAGCCCAGCATCGACTACGATTCTGATACATATTGGCTACTCCTCTCCTGTCTACAGTTTCCTGTGACAGTTAAAAGGTGCAGCACTGCCTCTGCAAGCCATACCCCTTCTCCTGTTTGCTGCCAGATCTTCTGCCTCTGCTACATCAGTCAGGTGGTGGTTTGCATCATTCCTCTTCAGATTTGTTATATGTACCTGTTTTTTTGGACAGTTAAAGCGTTTTTATTTGTTTTCAAGCTTCAGTGCCTCCTTCTGGTCTGGGATGTGAGCAGCATCCCCAGCAGTGCCTAGGGTTGCCAGTTTTGATTAGACTTATTCCTGAAGGTTTCATCACATGACATAATCTTTAGGTAGAGATTAGTCTTTAATTCCTGTAGACTCCAGGGCAATCGTGGCGAGTTGACAACCTAAGTTCGGTCTAAGGTGAGCACCTGTGTGGCCGTGCAGGAGGCCACCAAGGGGGAAAGCACTTAACTCCTCCAGCTGCGGGGCCGCGGCACGGCAGGGAGCGACGCCCCTCCCTCCCGGATCCAGGGCGGCGGCGTGGCAGGGAGCGACGCCCCTCCCTCCCAGCTCTGGGGCGGGGAGCGGTGCTTCTCCCTCCCAGCCACAGAGATGCTGCGAGGGAGAGGCACCTAGCCCCGGAGCTGTTGCAGTGAGAGAGGGTTGCGGGGAGTCGTCTCTCCCCGCCACAGCACCGGGGCAGCCTACACCCCAAACCTCTCATCTCCAGAGCCCGCACCCCAGGCTGTAGCCCTAACCCCCCTGCACTCCAACCATCGGCTTCACCTGTGAGCCCCCTTCCACACTCTAAACCCCTCGGCTCCACCCATGCCACACATCACCTCCATATTGGTGCATATAGCAAAATTAATTCTGCAGATGGATGGGAAAAGTTAGAGGGAACGTTGTTGGCAACCCTAGTAGTGCCTCCCTGCCAAGCTCCTCTGCCCTCTTTCAGGTATGGCAGAGCAGCTGCACAAACACCAGGCAAAATCCAAAAGGTGCTCTATATATGCATTAAGTTTCTCAGGCTTGGCAGAAGGTAAAATGTGCCCAGCCAGCCAACTCTCTCTGCTAGGGCATGGGGCTCTGAGTCAGACAGGCATGTTGGGGGCCCCTCCTCCCCAGGTAGCTGCAACTCCACTGCAAAACCCAACCAGGGGAGACAGAGCAGACCAGGGTGAGGCTCTGAGGATGAGGAGGACTCAACCCAGGGGGTAAATACTGGAGCAACAAAGGCTACGGGTCACCCCACAAGTCCTAAAATGGGTCCTAGAATCTCTGGGGAGAGAAGCAGGGCTCCTACACAGCTCCGCTTCCTCACACCGTGAATCCAGCTTCTCACTATACTCTCTGGATTTTGCAGGACTTATCCCAGACTCTGGGTCCCAGAAAGGCAAAAGCAAGAGTGTCCTGTACAAGGGAGCAAGTACTATTGTTGTGGGGTGGGGTGAAAATCAGGGATTAAACCACTTCTCCTTTGCCTAGGGTCACCACCTTTCTAATTGCTGGTAACTGGACCCCCAAGGCCCTGCCCCTTTCTCTGCCTCTTCCCTCAGGGGCCCGCCCCAATCACTTGCTCTTCTCCCCCTCCATTGCTCTCTAGATCAGGGGTCGGTAACCTTTCAGAAGTGGTGTGGTGAGTCTTCATTTATTCACTCTAATTTAAGGTTTTGCGTGCCAGTAATACATTTTAACGTTTTTAGAAGGTCTCTTTCTATAATCCTATAATATATAACTAAACTATTGTATGTAAAGTAAATAAGGTTTTTAAGTATCAGAGGGGTAGCCCTGTTAGTCTGAATCTGAAGAAGTGAGGTTCTTACCCACGAAAGCTTATGCTCCCAATACTTCTATTAGTCTTAAAGGTGCCACAGGACCCTCTGTTGCTTTTTAAGGTTTTTAAAATGTTTAAGAAGCTTCATTTAAAATTAAATTAAAATGCAGAGCCCCCCGGAGTGGTGGCCAGGACCTGGGCAGTGCGCGTGCCACTGAAAATCAGCTCACGTGCCCTCCCTTCCCCCAGCTGGGCTCCCTCTGCCCTATGTCTGGGACAGGAGCTGCTGCAGCCTGACAAAGAGCCTTCCTGCAAGTAGGAGGGGGCCCCGGTAAGCAGGGGCTGGTATGGGTTAATGACCTAGCACCTCCCTGCAGTAACAGGACTTTTGGTGTCCAGTCAGTACATCTGACCGGACACAGCCAGGTCCCTTTTTTGACTGGACTTTCCCGTCTAATATCAGGCACCTGGCAACCCTAAATGGCTCCCGGACAAGAAGCCAAAAATCAGACTGTCTGGGTAAAACCTGGGCAGGTGGCAACCCTACCTTTGCCTTCTCCTCCTGAAAGAGTGTTTGCTGGGGCTTTTCTCCTGTACAGAGTCTCTCCCCGTGCACTGTAGCATGCTCACGGTCCCTCTCCCACCCTGCAGCATGTCTAGGCACTCAGAGAAGCATCTCCCTCCTGTGCAGCCCTGCCTCAGACTGCAGCCTCATGTGAATTGGCTGCATGGTCTGTCTGGCTTTCAGCCCCAGGACCCTCGCTCTGCCAGGAAAGTGGCTGAAATCTGAGGCAGCAGCGGAATGGGAATTGTGCCCTCTGAGCATCAGCCATAAACCGTGCTGTGCCATGAAAAGTGGCTCAGACTCTGAAAGGTGGGGAAGGGTTTCTCAGTGCCCCTTCCCAGCTCTACAGGGTGGCTCCACATTAAAGCCTTGAGCACTTCAGGCGGTCTGTGACCAGAACAGAGGCACCTTTGTAGGATTACATAGGGGTACATGAGAAATCCCTTCCCATGTTCAAAGTACTACTGATTTCCTGAGTATAGCTCCAAGTGGTACTAGGTGCTCATACAGTACTTACTGACTAGGAGGAGCAGGCAGACAATCTTTCAAGCTTCTGGGACCTCTAACAACTATTTTCACAATTGAGGGATGTATAACAGTACCCCTCTATTGTACAGTCCCCAGATCAGGATGAAGAGTGTACTACTTCCCTCTATAAGCAGACAGGGAAGAAAAGAAAAAGGCATTACCTGCCAGGGCCGTCCTTAGGCATACGCAGCTGCCTAGGGCACCAGGAAATTCAGGGCACCAAATTGCCCACGCTGCATACCAGCCCCGGCGACCAGCCCTATCCCTCGCCATCCCTAAGGGGATGTGGGGCCCCGGACAACTCCCTCCACTCTGCCTCCTACCCTTCCCCTCTGCTCTGCCCCAGCCCACCCCCATTTCACCTCTTTCCCCCAGTGACCCCCACTCACCGGCAGTGGCAGGAAGTGGAGCAACCCGATCCCAGCCTACTCTACTCCGCCAGCTCCCAGCCGCGGCGCTCTGCTTCCCGCCACCAGTGAGTGCAGGGAAAGGATTGCCTCCCGCACTCACCAGCGGCGGTAAGCAGAGAGATGCAGCCCCAGCCCGCTCTGCTTCCCTTGCCCCAGCCCCAGTCATGTCGCTCGGGTTGGGGAAAGGACCGCCCCCAGCTCTCACTGGTGGCTGGAAGCAGAGGACCATGGCTGGGAGCTGGTGGAGTAGAGTGGGCTGGGCCTGGGCTGCTCCGCTTCCTGCCGCTGCCGGTGAGTGGGGGATCCCTTCCCCCAAGCCTCCTCCCCTGAGTGACAGGTCTGGGGCAGGGACAAGGGAAGCAGAGCAGGCTGCTCCCGGCCTCCCGCTAATCCCCACAGCCAGCTCCTGCCTTCCAGACCCGTTTGGGGGGGGGGGGGGGGGGAGGCTGTGTGGGGCCCCAGACCTAGACCCAAATGGCTAGGGACGGCCCTGTTGTCTGCATACGCATACAAACCAAAAAAATCCCTGCAGTACTTTTCCAAGATCGGATGTCTGTCAGTGGCCTGGAAGAAACTTTTTATTAATAGATCTTTCTTTTTGAGCATTATGATGATGCATGTTTTCCCATTGATGCCTTCTTTTAAGGTATCACAAGAGCAAAATGAGCACACCTGATTAAACCAAGTCTTAAACTAAAATGTGTTTTTGTATTTATATTAGGGCTGTCAATAAATCACAGCTAATGCATGCAATTAATGCAAAACAAATTAACTAGATTAAAAATATAGTCGTGATTAATCAGTTTTAATTGCACTGTTAAACAATAATAGAATACCAATTTAAATTTATTATATGTATTTTTGGATCTTTTTCTACATTTTTAAATATAGTAATTTCAGTTACAACAGAATACAAAGTGTACAGTGCTCGCTTTATATTTTTTATTACAGATATTTGCACTGTAAAAACAATTGTATTTTTCAATTCACCTCATACAAGTCCACTTAGTCCTACTTCTTGTTGAGCCAGTTGCTAAGACAAACAAGTTTGTTTACATTTATGGGAGATAATGCTGCCTGCCTCTTATTTACGTCACCTGAAAATGAGAATAAGCGTTAGCATGGCACTGTTGTAGTGACTGTTGCAGGGTATTTACGTGCCAGATATGCTAAACATTCGTATGCCCCTTCATGCTTTGACTTGTAGGCTCTAAACTTTTACGTTGTTTTGTTTTTGAGTGCAGTCATAAAACTTAAGTTGCACTTTCATGATAGTGATTGCATTACAGTACTTGTACAGTGGCATGTGGGGGGGGGGGGGGAAACCTGAAGCAGAAGCTTCCAAGGAAACCTAGATCAGTATTCCGTCAAACCAACAAAATCCTCAGCATAACTAAAACCTTCTTTCAGATTCACCCTCTGCACCCAGAGTCCTAAGTGACTGGCTGTACAACAAGGCACAGCTCACAAACCACAGCATGCACTGCCACAACCTAGACTCTGGATTGTCTCCAAGCACCAGACTTTGCAATAACACCAGAAAAAGCTCCCTGATTCCTTAGACAAACATAATTCACCTAGGAGTGGAGATAAACTTCAGTGACAAAGATCTACCCATCTAGACAGGTTCCAGATGATCCAAGATCTCATATCCATGCTGGACAAATGCATGAGGCCAACCATAGCTCAGCGTCTCTATCCACTGGGTCGTCTGCTCTAGTACACATGGGTCTCCCCAAGGACTAGGTCGCACATCCGGTGTCTCCAGGCCTTTCTTCTGAGCATATGGGACCATTCCTTGGAGCGAATGCAAGACCACTTTCCAGTTCCAAACCAGGTGCTTGAATCCCTTAAGATAATGGATAGTCTCAGAGAACATCCACAGGGATCTTCACATATATTCCCGGCCTGTTGGTTCGCACAACAGATGCCTGGCTGGGGGGGGGGGGGGTGTGCTTCCGGGACCCAGAAGAGCATAGTGCATCAGGAGGGCAGCCATGTCGTGGTTCAACTACGCAGCCACAACTGCATACATAAACAACGAAAGGGGAACAAGGAGTGTAGCTCTACATGCACAAGTGATGGAAACAATGAAATGGACAAAGAAGATTCTCCCTTCCCTAAAGGTGATCCACATAAAAGGGAGAGCTGAACCTAAAAGCAGACTGGCTCCGCAGATGCAAAGTCAACTACTCCGTGTGATGCCTGCACCAGGAAGTCTTCACTCTGATCTCCCTTCAGTTGACCTGGTTGTCAATTTCAAGAATACAAAATGGCCAAAATTCTTCACCTAGCAAGTAGACCCCATGGGGACAGATGCTGCATTGCACAGATGGCCGCAAGGCCTGCTTCACACGTTCCCACCTTTTCGTCTTCTAGGGAAGGTGATCCAAATGATAAGGCAAGAAGAAGGAAGGGAGACAGTGCTAATTCCATACCAACCAAGGAGACCCTACTACTCTGATCTAGGATAATTAAATCTGGAAACACTGTTGCAGCTTTTGACAAAACCCATTTGTCCACCCAGACCCAGATAGTCTTCAACAGGCAGCTTGGCTATTGAAAGGGAAGCATTAGCTGCTCTCAGCTAGTCTTCTAAAGTGATCAGGACTGTACTCATATCCAGGAGAGTTTCCACACTAAAACCTGCTCCTAAATATGGACCAAATTCAGTTCATGATGCAGGAGCACAGTGGAGATCCAAGGGATCCTGGGATTCTGGCCACTCTGGACTTCCTTCAGGAATGTGTGGATAAAGGTCTTTGGCCCAGCACTGTAGCCTGCCAGCTGCAAGCAGTGTACTATTCGGAGGATCCTTGGGCTCCTTGGCAGAACCCTCAGATATGCAGATTTGTCAGAGCAATCAGACTGGCCAAACCAGTGGTCAGACTGATCTTCCCTAAGCAGGAACTACCACTGGTGTTGAAAGCCCTAACCACCCAACCACCCTTTTGAGCCTCTGACTGTTCATTGTGGCCATGGCCACAGCAGCTGACCAAGAAGCAGTGGCACACCCTAGGTGTCAGAAGAGCACTGAATATTTATATCAAGCATACAGAATCCTTGAGGTGATCAGGCCGTCTTCATTTCCTTTCATCCCGAGGTGCCAAGGCTTAGTATCTAAGCTATCCCATATCAGGTGGATCAGACTATGCATTGCTGAGGCATACAAGACATTCAGCGTGCCAGTTCTGGAAAATCAAAGTGCATTCTACAAGATCCATGGCAACCTCATAGGCCAAAAGAGAGGCACTTCCACGGCAGAGATCTGCGGAGCAGCCATGTGATCATTGGCTAATGCCTCTATCAGACACTATAGGATGGAGTTTCTGTATCCACAGAGGCCTCTTTGGTAGGAAGGTGCTGCGGGTCGTGGTCCAGACATAACTTGGCCATTTGAACAATTCCAAAAGTGGGGCATATCCTGTTTCTTATATTCACTTCTCTGTCCCTCCCTATTCCAGTTCACTGTGTGCTACTTCTCATACATATCCAAATTGTGGGAGATGCTGGGCTGCAGAATAGAAAATTACTGGGTAAGAAATTTTCTATCTGCTAACAGGATCATCCACAATTCTCCCCTGCTGGATAGCTTCACAATCAAGATCAGCATTTTATTTGGATAGTAGGCAGTGGCCTACTGTACATAATTCATTAGTTGGAACTGAAGTTTGTTAATTTTCTAGGAGGTTTTTCACAGCTGTGGAATGAATCATCTGGCAGCAAGCAGGAGAAGGTGTGTGGCTAGCGCAGGCTCTGCTGCAGCTTTGAGCTGCCTCTGCAAATTGCAGACAGGAAGGGAATAGCACATATGTAACAGAATTGTGGGAGATGCTGTTAGCAGAAAGGAAATTACTGGGTAAGAAATTTTACATTCCAATCCATGTGCCAGAAACCATGTGACTAAGTCAGTCATATGCAGGATATGACTTTCTTTCATAATTTACTCTAATATTAATTTATAGGATGGACAACCATCCGCTTCAAAAATGCAGTAAAAATAAGAGAAAATGAATAGTTTATATTCAAATAGTAATATAAGAAATTACTTGAGTGGTGACCTGAATTTAGTTCTTAATAATTAAATCTTTATTAATTAAATAATTAAATTTCAATTATTTCACTGTTTTTAAAAAGCAAACTATTGAAAACAAATTATTTTATCTCCTACCTCAGCAACGCTTAAATCCAGCATTTGAAGATGGATGGAGCAGCAGTGATGATGAAGGATGAACCTCAGTTAGCTGTTGATATAAAACTGACATTCATGCACTATGTTTGTGAAGAAAGGGACTTTACCTGCAGAATTGAACAAGTATTTGTCATCAGCTTCTTTGTAGAGTTCCTTAAAGCTCAGGCTTTCAGAAATGAGATTTTCTTGTAAAGTTACTTTCTTGTACTGTCTTAATGTTTCTTCTGTGTTGTTACTATATTTTGAAATAGTATTCTTTTATTTCACCTGGCCTTCTCACTCTTTCCCACCCACCCCCAAACTTTAGGCAAAGCAATTTGGTATATTGTACCTAGTTGTTGAGCTGAATATTAAAAGCAAAATTTCTGATGATCAGATGCTAGTACACCCCATCTCTCTTCTGGTGTCACTAAAATAGTGAGGCCTGATGATTCCTTCTATTTTCAGGGGCTCTAAATGGGACAGTTTGGGACAAGATGAGTGTGGAGAGGAGCTGGCGTGTGTAAATCCCAGTTCCTTTGTATTATCCCCATTTTACAGATGCCTCTCCATGGATGCATTATGGAATCCAGCTTCCCCAATTAGAAGGAAGCAGGGCTGGTATTCTCTATCTAGGTATTTATATAGCCCCCATCAATTTAATATCTGACCCCATCCCAGGTATTTAAAAATAGAAGCAAATTACATGGAATAGGATCTTACTGGTCCCATTAACATGATCATAAGATCTGCTGCATGAAACCCCCCAAGTGGAGGGGGAAATTCATAGATAGCAGCAGGCAAACACTGAATGGGGGCTTGGCTTCTGTGACAGCCAAAGAGTCAGGATGAGGAGGAGAAAGGGAAAGCTAGTGCTGAGTCACTGGGCCTCTGCCAATGTGCTGTGACTTAGGAGGTTGAACCTCCTGCATATTCTGGGTGTGCAAGACCTGCTCTCCCTTTCTCATTAAGATGATTTAGAGGAATCTCAGCAAGCTGAGAGTCTCCTGTCTGTGATGGATGTGTTATAATGTAACCTTCTGGATTTAACAAGCCTCAAGTCAGAAGAAAAATTTGAATAAAATGGAAATGTAAAAAACAGTCCTTCAGAATGTCTTCATTTCAACTGAATGTGTCGGTAGGGTCTTTGGTCTGTACGGTCATGTGGGAGGCTTGGTGGATCGGTTCCTAGCCCACTGCTGGGCTGGGTGTGCTACAGGAGCGGCACTCCCTATTCCCTGAGGACTGAGTTAAGGAGCTGCATTAAAAGGCTTCCCATCCAGTGGAGGAAGGATAGCCGGGATGCAGTACTTCCAAGGGAAACATTTATACCAAATGGAGGAGCAGGATTCAAACAACAAGGGACAAAGTGCTAAGCAACTGGATGAAAATTTAGCCTGTGTACTGTATTAGTGCACATTTCAGAATTACATTTGTAAAAATTTTATGTGCTGTTTAAAAAAAAAAATTATTCCATACACCAGTCCAGTGAAAGGGGAATGGAGGGACTCAAGGAAATCCTAGTAATTCAGAAGTGTTAATATAAAGAATACTAAGTTTACAATTGCCAGGAATGGTGAAACCCAAAATGTGGCCTCCCTTAAAGTTGTTACGAAGCTATACTAGTTGGGGGCAGGGAGAGTCCCAAAAGCTTCACTTGAACTAAGATTAAGGGACCAGCCCGAACCCAGTAAGTGTAGGGGAATATAACAAATTGAAATTGGCTTCTTAAAGATGAAACTTTAATTTAATTACCACTTGTTAATTCTTTTCCTCCCAAAATCTAGGGAATCCTGGTTACTTAATGAAAATAAGCTTTATTACAAGACAAAAGCAAAATGAATAAACTATTTGTATTATTGGGCAACATTTTTGTTACATGTTACGTGTTGTGATAAAGTTCCTCCTCTACCTTGGTGGGTCCTGCACTTATTGGCAGATTTTCTTGCCTCAGAGATTCACCATGTGGGTTGGGGAACAGTCCAGAGACCTTCCCCTCTGGAAGAACGCACAGTCCAGGTCAATGGGGAGGTTTGGGGGGAACCCAGGCCCGCCCTCTACTCCAGGTTCCAGCCCAGGACCCTGTGGACTGCAGCTGTCTATAGTGTCTCCTGTAACAGCTGCATGACAGCTACAACTCCCTGGGCTACTTCCCCATGGCCTCCTCCAAACACCTTCCTTATTCTCACCACAGGATCTTCCTCCTGGTGTCTGGTAATGCTTGTGCTCCAAAGTCCTCCTTCAGCACACCCTCTCACTCTCAGCTCCTCACACTCTTGTACTACAAACTGAAGTGAGCTCCTTTTAAAACCCAGGTGCCCTGATTAGCCTGCCTTAATTGATTCTAGCAGCTTCTTCTTAATTGGCTCCAGGTGTCCTAATTAGCCTGCCTGCCTTAACTGGTTCTAGCAGGTTCCTGGTTACTCTAGTGCAGCCCCTTCTCTGGTCACTCAGGGAACAGAAAACTACTCATCCAGTGACCAGTATATTTGCCCTCTACCAGACTCCTGTACCCCACTGGTCTGGGTCTGTCACATAGTATATACAGATGCTACATACTGCATATCATATTTGTACTTCACATTTTCCAAATTTAGTAAAAAGGTGGTTTTTTGTCTTGAGAGGAATGTTCATTAGATCCTGTGTTTTTTAAACCACTCTCCTTAGTGATCATCTGATTTGTGCATTACTTCAGAGCCAGCCATCAAAAGGAGAAATAAATTACATACTAATGAATTCTTCCTGAGCTGTGCAGTGATCATGGAAAATGTTGGTACCTAAAGAAGCAGACCCAGGGTAGTTTTTGTGTTCCATACCCAATGGGAGATAGAGAGATCCAAATTTGTCAAATGGAAGAAGACAAATACAGTAAAGAAAGTTTTCATTTTCCAGCCGGGGTTCCAAACTGACAGCACTAACTATGTCTCCTCTGTGTAGCACTGCCTTTCTCTTCCAAATGAAATGCTACGTGCTTCCCATTCCTGCACTTTCTGAGCACTCAGAGAATCTCTCCCTGGCTTCATTCTATGTAGTATTGCAGTGCACCAATTCTTTCCCAGCCTCTTGGCTGTTGATGCACCCTCCTGGTTTTAGTTCCAAGCTGAAGGAAGAGGAGTTTGAGGGAAGGTGAGGCCAGTTTGTATTCACTGACACCAGGCAAAAGTCCTGCCCAACTCTCACCTCCCAGCAGCCAAAAATCTTATATCATACTGGCAGTGCCCCATAACATATGGCTAGTTCCCAAGTTATTAAACACCTGGGCACTATACAGCATCTTAATTGATACACAAATTCTGGACAAATGCCATTGCGGGTAATTGTTTAGATTTCCCCTAAAGATTCAGTTTTGACATTTACGTCCTTCCCTAAAATATTGCAGGAGATTTTGTTTGTTTTTAATTGCTGCTGCATTCTTCAAGAGTTACTGTAGTTCATTGATGCATTAAGTGGTTATGATTCTTCTGGGTGAAATATGCCATACAAATGTAACAGGACTGTTACAGTAATTTCTTTCCCTCAGTTGTATGACAGAAGACACCAAATACTAAACAAAGATAGAACTGAATGCTGTGTAGCAGGATTTGAAACAGTGCCAGGTATAGGCTACACTGAATTGTAGAAGCTGTAGAACAGTCCCAGTTCTTGCTTCTGTGTGCCATTCAAGCCTAAGACCTTAAATGAGTTCTGTTCTGATTCTTTTTATCATCTCCATCTCCATGGTATCTGAGCATCTTTATGAAATACTGCCTGATAGTCTGAAAGAAATTTGGAAGCTCAGATCAACTTAGAAGAGGGAAATTCTGCTTCTGAAAGCAAGTAGTTCCATAGAGAAGGAAGTAGTTTACTGAGGGCACTTCTGCTACAGCAGTGGGTACTGGGATAATGCTTAGAGCAGGAGGGGAAGAGATTAATTCCCTGCAGGGAAGGTCAGACCAGGGATCTACTCCAGTCAGAAAAGTTGCTTTGCCTTCCAGTAAAATAGGAAGTTTTCCACCAGGACTTGGCAGGACAAGTACTGTAACATGAAAAGGAAATGATTTGCTCAGAGTCCTTTCTCTTTTGCTCTTCCGTTTTCCTTCATTCTAAAGAGGGAATTGAGCCAGGCCTACTGAAAAACCAGGCAACCCTTGGAAACAGCCTGCTTCATCTCTGCATGAAGCCTGAACTCTGTCCAAAGAGACTCTCAGATATGATGTATGATTTTATGTTTCTGTTTGGTTATGAGGATTGAAAGGAGTCTGCTAGTGGTTTAGCGCAGTGGATCCTTCCGAATGACTCAAGACGGAAGAAAACGGGGTTCTTTCTCCTTATAGCCAGGGCAGAGGTTCAAGGGGCCAGCCAGCATTGTCATTTGAAGCCATCAATATTGTCAACTCTAAGCATTCAAAAATAATGTGTTAAACCCCTCAAAATCCATGAAACTGTAATAAATGCAGGAGTCTTTTGTGTCTTCTTATTCTGAGTTGTTAGGGTTCATGTTTTCAAACTTTTCTATGCAATCGTGAAGACTAAGCTATATTTATTTATTTAATTGAAAGTTAAGATTTTCATCTCATTTATCTCCAGCAATCTTCAGTAATCACTTTACTCCAGCATCTGGGGCTTTAAGAAAAGCAACAAATATCTCAAGACTGATCAGGAAATTGTTAGATCTGGCAACACTGGGCCAGAGACCCTTAAAGTGATAGTTATAATTTTCCTTTGTGGCATTTTCCTTTTTTTTTTTTAACCCTAGTGCTACAGTCCCTCTGCCTTGCACATCTATGCTAGAACTATATCACTATTTGAGAAAGGGCCTCAGTTTTACTCGTGTCTCATTTTTGTAATGTAAGTACAACCCTAAAGAACCCCCAGTGTAAATAGCTGAGGATCATTAAACTGTAAGTTCTTCAGTGCAGTCTTAGTATGTGTGTCCAATATCTGATGTGGGGATCCTGAGCGAGGCCTTCCGACATTACTGTAATACAAATAATACAAGTTATACCTTTTGTGGCATGCTAGCTGAACTACTCGATGTGCATTTAGCATTCTCCAGCTAGAAGATATTCTTGAAGACCATATATTGTTTCAGAGGGTAGCAGATTCCTTCCTGTACTTCTGCCATTCAGTATTTCCTACCCTCTATCAAAACATAACATAAGTAACTCTTAAAACACAAATAATTTAAGATTGATTTTACATAAAAATGTTCTTCATTGCTCTATGAGTAAATATTTAATGGTAAGCTATGGAAAGGGCTTGTGTTGTTTGTTTTGTTTTGTTTTGTTTTATGTGCTTATATGTAAGGCCTGAGGGGTTTTTGTTTGTATAGAAAAACAGGAGAGAATTGGGATTCTCCTTTTTTTTAATTATTAATATTAGAAAGTCTAGTCTTGTCTGCCTGTGAAAAACTGTGGTGGCTAGAGTACTAGTGCAAATATGACATCACAGGAGTAAAGAAACAAAACTGAGTAATTTTTAGAGAACCTGTTTTTCTTCACTGCTGTTTAACTCCAGTGACAAATGAACATTGTGGAAGAGGTTATTTAAAATTTAACTTTGTCATCATGTAAGCTGATGGGCAGGTGCACCAGCCACAGTAGCCAAAATAAAACCCAAACTCAAGTTCAATTCTATGTTCCTTTCCTCTGGGCTGGTTTTATTAATAAACAGAAGATCCTCAGTGTTGTGTATTAAGGCTTTTGTAAGAACCCTGTCCTGCTTCCTGCAAGCTGGGAAGGGAAGAAGACAACCTTCCTGGCTATCCCCTAGAGGACTCCAGCAAGGTTCTCATGACTGACTTCCTTTAGGGTTTTTCCTCAACCCTCATCTTATTAAGATTCTATGAAGAAATAATCCTGGCTCTGTCTCCAGCACATGGTGTTTGGTTAGCTGAGCCTCCCATTAAGTGACCTGAAAGAGTACAACTCCCAGCAACCCCCGATCCAAAGGCCATATCAGGTATCCTGAACTGTGTTGATGTACCCCAGGGCATCTGTTACACACACCTTCAATTAAAGTCTGATTGCTCACACATTGAAAGCTCTGAAACTCCCAAGAATGCCTGCAACAAAGCCAAGAGAGATGAGTCTTTAGAAATATCAGATGTAAAGTAAAAATAG